CCCTACAAAATGGCTATAGAGTAAAAGTGACAAAAATTGGTGATGCATGTCTGAATTCTTCATTAACTTTGCATAAAGTTCTGTTTGTACCTAGTTTCAAGTTCAATCTGATATCAGTTCATTGCTTAGTTTCTCAAGATAAAAGAGTGATCTGTTTCAACTCTATTACTTGTTTAATGCAGGGCCTTTCAATGAAGAGCCCTCTAGATATTAGTAGAGCACATAATGGACTATATTTCTTGTGTTCAAAATGTCACATTCCTTGCCCTAACTCCAATGTCCTAAATGTTGGATCACACAACAAAATCTCATCTGTTCATTCTAGTTTAAATTTTGTTTCTAGTAATCCTAGTTTATTTTCTAATTCTGCAATTCCAAATTCCTTTTCATGTAATTCATCATCATATGTTGCTATTTTTCCTTGAAATGAAAGATCATCTACTGGTACGAATTCATATTTGGCGAATCCTCTCATGTCATGCATGTCTCATGAAAACAGTATTGATCATTTATAGCATAACAGACTAGGCCATGTGCCCCTTATCAAAATGAAAGGAATCTCCTCTATTCCTATATCCTTCTAACAAAAAAAAACCTTTTGTGTGCATTGTTTGTCGCATGGCCAGATAAAAAAGATCATATTTCCAACAAAAACCACCACTTCCAGCAATACATGTTTTGACCTTCTTCGTCTAGATTTGCGGGAACCATACCATGTACCTACTCATAATGGCTATAAATACTTCTTGACAATTGTTGATGACTTTAGTAGGTCTACGTGGACTCTAATTCTTACTTGCAAAAGTAACACCCTCCAAAGCATAAAGTCTTTTGTGTCTCTTGTAGAATACCAGTTTAGAGTTACTATTCAGTCCATTAGAGCTGATAATGGGTCAAAATTCATCAACAATGAGACAAATATTTACCTTCAAAAAAAAAGGAAAAATACACCAAAGATCATGTCCATACACACCACAACAAAATGGTGTGGTTGAGAGAAAACACAAACATCTTCTTGAAGTTGCTAGAGCATTACTATACCAATCAAAACAACCTGCTAGATATTGGGGAGGGTGCATCCTTACAGCAACCTATTTGATAAACAGACTAACTAACTTACTTCTCCATAACAAAAATCATTTTCAAGTGTTGTATAATAAACAACCTGCTTGCTCTCACCTTAAAATTTTTGGGTGCCTTTTTTTTCCTACTCTCAACAGTCACAAAGACAAGTTTGAACCAAAAACTACACCTCACATATTTGTAGGATATCCTTACAACACAAAGGTGTACAAGGTATTAGACTTTAGCACTAAGAAAATACATGTTTCCAGAGATGTGTCATTTTATGAAAATGTTTTTCCTTTTTCTCTTTTTGAAGTCTATTTAAGTTTTTCTACTACACTTGAAAAGTTGAATATAAATTAGAATACATTGCACTCCTCTAATAGTACTCCTAACTAAGTTCAGATGATGGATGATGACATCACTATTACTGTCACTATAACTGATCATCCTAGTCCCACATATCTACCCTCAACATGAAAAAATAATAACCCACCATCCTTAAATGAAAAAGACATAGTGAATCTGTCACCACAAAAAATAACAACTCACGAACACCAACATCAAAACATTAGGAGGTCGAAGAGGTCAAATATACCTATTCTTTACCCTCATTACAATCCAAAAATTCAAGCCCTTCATCTCATTATGTCTGTGATACCAATCACGTGTCTCTTACGAATTTTAACAAGGATAGTCAACAACTTGTTAACAACATTTCACATTACATTGAACCATGTTCATATGAGGAGGCAGTGATAGATCCTTCTTGGCAAGCAGCAATGACATATGAGTTTGAAGCATTATGTTCTAACAATACTTGGGAAATTTTTAAGTTGCCTGCAGGGAAGAAAACAATAGGTTGTAAGTGGGTGTACAAGATCAAACACAAAGTTGATGGGACAGTGGAGAGATACAAGGTCAGACTTGTTGTGAAAGGATACACCCAGCAGGCTGGAATCGACTACAATAAATCTTTTTCCCCAGTAGTAAAGATGACTACTATCAGGGCATTTGTTAGTATAGTTGTGAAAAAGAACTGGAACATTTACCAACTGGATGTTAATAATGCATTTCTGCAAGGACATTTGTGTGAAGAAGTTTACATGGACATACCTCAAGGGCTCTTAGTGGAAGACACAGGTTTCAGGTGTAAACTCAAAAAGTCATTGTATGGACTCAAACAGGAAAGAAGACAATGGTATGACAAGTTAGCTCAAATGCTTTTTTCAAGAGGTCATTCCTAGTCAGACAGTGATTATTCTTTCTTTTATAAAAAGGTTGGTGTTTCTCTAGTGTTTGTCGTTTTCTATGTTGATCACACAATATTGACAGGAACTGATGTTAATGAAATCAGCTTTTTGAAGAATTTTCTTCATGATCAATTCAAAATAAAGGACTTGGGAAAACTTCATTATTTTTTGGGATTGGAAATAATTTACAAGGACACTGGTGTTCTGATTTCACAAAGAAAGTTCACTATATATTTGTTGAAAGAATTTGACAGCACATCATTCAAACCAACCATGTCACCTTTTGAATCCACAGCGAAGCATAAAGCAAATGAAGGAGCAGTACTGAAAGATCCCGCATTCTATAGAAAATTGGTGGGGAAGTTAAACTTCTTCACTAATAACAGATTGGACATAACTTTCAGCGTCCAACACCTTAGTCAGTTCCTTCAATATCCTAAGGAACCACATCTTAAAGCTGCTTACCATGCCTGAGATATCTTTTCAATGAACCTTGTTTGGGGATATTCTTATCTAATAGCACTGATTGCACTATCACTTCCTATTGTGACTCAGATTGGGATGCATGCGCTTATTCTTGAAGATCAGTGAGTGGTTATATTGTACTGATGCGAGACAGTCCCATTTGCTGGAAATGCAAGAAAAAAACAACGATCTCTTGGTCCTCGGCAGAAGCAAAGTACTGAGCCGTAAGAAAAGTGGTGGGAGAATTTGTCTTGCTGGAAAGATTACTAATTGAGTTGCACTCACCATGTAACTTACCTGTTTCCGTATTTTGCGATAGCCAAGCAGCTGTTCATATTGCAAAGAATCTTGTGTTTCATGAAAGAACGAAACACATAGAGGTTGATTGCCATTTCGTCAGAGAAATGTTACAGGAAGGACTTATTGTGCTTCATCATATCCTAACTGATGAACAATTGGTTTATGTTTTGACCAAACCTCTGCCAAGCTCTAAACATTCCATTTTGCTGCACAAGTTAGCTGTGAGCTACTCACCTCCAACTTGAGGGGAATTGTTAAGATACAGATTACTTAGCTTCTAAATTTATGAGCAAGTCGGCTTAGCTGGCATATTAGTTTCAATTAGTTAATAGTTAGTCATTTCTTATTGTGTTAGTTAGCTTTATTTTACAGCAATAGCTTGTGATTAGAAAATTACACACTTGTATAAATTGTAAGGTTGCAGATAATATATTTCAATTTTTCCATTTTCTCAATTACTCCTGATCGATCTCAAAGCTCTACTCTTCTGCTCCATTTTCTTTCTTCTCGAAGCTTCTTCAATGGAGAATCGAAATTCTCCACAACTTCTCCTTAATTCGACAGTTCCTTTCCAGTGCATTATCTTTCCAGTTGGTGCAGTTCATACTTAATTTAATGACATGTGTCAATTTCTAAATGGTCCATATTTATTATTGAAATAAAAAGCAACCAGTTGTCGCTTCCACATTCCAAAATTATGATTTAAGGTGCAAAATACACAATCTACTAGCGAGAAATACAAATTTTTTGATTATTTTGTATATAATAATTGAATTATTATAAAGTGATTCTTATTGTTCAAAATATTTTGAACTAGTCTATCGTACCAATTTGGTATCATATGAAATTTTGAAAAAAATTATATTTAGGTTTCAAAAATATATAGAATTTGAATATGCTATATGATTATGATTTTATTTGTTGTTTCGTAAAGATTATTGTTCAAATATTATGAACTATTCTATTTATCAATTTGGTATCATAAGTGATTTTAAAAAATAAAATTTTTCAACTATATTAAATTGATATATATTCAGATTTCAAAAATTATGGGATTTGAATATGCTATATGATTATGATTTAATTTGTGATTTCGAACAAATGTTTACAAACTATTTGAGACTAATATTTTTCTTCCAACTGCTTGTGTATATAATTGGTTCATAAAATTACCATTAAGGTTTAACTTTTTTGAACTGATCTACATGTATACATTTTGGTATGATATGAAATGTTCAAAATTAAATTATTAGACGATATGATATTGAACTCTTCTATTGTATAAACTTGGTATCATATGTGATTTTAAAAAAAAAAATTGTCAACTATATTATATTGATATATATTCATATTTCAAAAATCATACGATATGAATATGCTATATGATATTTATTATATAAATTGTAAGTAATATAATTTTTAAAAAACTTATACATAAACAAGTCATATAAAAAAATTTAAAACCTGTTCTAATACTAATTTACCAAGTTAGAGCATGGAGAATTCTTTTTAAATGTTGAGTAATGGTTGAGATTATTATCTAAAATAAAAAAAATAAATAAACTTAAATCAAATAAATTAGAAGTTTGGTAAAACTAAAATTCTTAAATGTTAGGCGATTACTTTGTAACCGTCATAAAAAAAAACACGTATTTGTTTTTCTCTTTCTAGCATTAAATACGAAAATCTAAAAGTAATTAAAGGTTACATTAAGAAAAATGAAGACGTGTTAAATTTAAATTCCTCGATTTTGGTTAGAAAATCACGATGGTAATTGCCATAAAAATATGTTTGCATTAATGTTTACAACATTAACTACGGAAATATAAAACTACTAAATTTAAATTAAATAAATTATAAGACCGGTAAATTTAAATTTCTTGTAACGATTGGCTAGATCGTTTTGAAAACTAGGACTGTTTTGATTTTCTTCGAAAAAATTTGAAATGTATTTTTAACTATTTGATAATTATGAATATCTAGTTGATAAAATTTATTAAATAATTATTATAGTTAATTATTAGTGGGCCAAGTCTATAATTCATGCAGTACCCATTTATATTTGGCCCATAAAATTAAGTTAAGTAAAGAGGGGTTAATAATATATTCATAACTCAAGATTGAAAGAATGGCGGTTGGCTAGACGGTTTCGTCGGTTATCCTGGTAAGTACTTTAAATTCCATAAATTTGTATATGTAAATAATGCTATCAGCTGTAGTAGTATAATAATATTTATTTTTACTATGCGATTCAATTTCTTTTTAGTAGTGCTAGTGGGAAGGCTGGTCCGAATTGATGGATAATAAAATGGTTGGATCGAATAGTGACGTGATATGAGTGAGTAAACTTTTTTTAGGATTTATTGAATGGAAAAAGGTCAAAATTGTCCCTAAATTATATGAAATAGATTATTATACCTTCTATTATATTTTGGGATAAAAAAATTCATTGTTGTTATTCTAGGAGACCACAAATACCCTCGAGAGTTAACACCTCAATTTTTCAGTGATGTGGAATGCCACATGATACTAATCTCTTCATCTAAGCGTTGCCAACTAAGATTCACTACAAAAGAACTTGATCTTTAGTAGCGATAAAGTTGCCACAAAACCTCAAAATATTGAAACTAAAGGTTATGAGTGACTTTTAGTAGTGATTAATACTAAAACCTATTTTTTCAACAAAAAAATATGATAATTGATTTTTCATTGCAACCTAATTTTCTAAATAAATAACTTATAATATTAATATTAAAAGCACCCAATATTATTACGAAAAATAATGAAAACTACTTCTTGATTCACATCTCCTACTATATAATGCATCAATGTACATTTTATGCAATTACATATACCATAAAAATAAATTATACAGTGTCTTCAAACTCCTACTTAATCGATATTATTTTTTGTATTTTTAAAAATAATGGAAAAAAAACACCAAAATTAGAATTTGATTTTAAAACTTTTAGTGATTATTTTTTTTATCTTTTGTGGCGACTTTTAGAAAAGGATTTTATATACCCAGAGATTAAGGTTAGAAACTGGGGGAACCGACCAAATTTTAGATAAAGGCCCATTACGAATTCAAATTTCGAAACCCTTTTACCCTTTTTTGGATGAAAACCCTTTCTCTGAAGCTTTGAACTTATTCAAAAATGGAAAGGGGAAAGGGATGATTAGGATGAGTCTTCTTGTCCATGAAGTCTGACATGGTATCATCTCACCATATTAAGGACGAATTTGCGTGCCTCATCCATTGCTGGATTCGTACGACTTGATGGAGACGCGGGAGGAAGCATACAAGCAAGGCCACAGACTACTGCTGCATCTCGTGGAAGGTGTGAAGTCGCCATTAGGTGTGAAGAACGTTGTGCCTGTTCCTTCACGCGTCGGTTTTGACTTTTCTGGGTTTGCATTTTAGGAGGAAGAGAACGAGTGTACTGTTACTCGTTCTCTAGATCAACTCTCGTAAAAAAAGCAAAAAAAGAAAAAGACCGAAATATGTCGGGTCAGGCCAATGGGAAAGAGGTTGGACTAGATCATGAAATTAGAGTGGGCTGAGATCTGGAAAAAGGCCTGGGTCAATAGAAATAGGCCAAACTTTGATCCCTTTTAAATGGATTCAAAAAGGGCTGGATGTAATTGAGGGGCGGGCAGGACAATTTTAGCTTATTGGGAAATTGGTAATGAGTTACTGAAATGGGTTACAGAAACCCAACATGGTCACATTGAAACGGTGTAAACAAGAAAGAAGGAGATGTCAAAATATAACCCAAATATTAAGGCCAATTAGAGTTGGGTTTTAAACCGTATTTCAGCTTAAATGACGACTTGGTTAAAATTTCTACATAAGACAAATTTAATATTTAATTAGTCTACGAGCTTCTTAATTTTAACAAGATAAAATAGCTAGCTCAATTATAAACTAAGACTCGAAATATGAGATACTAATTTTGACAAAAAATAATTTAATAAAGCGTTAAGTAAAACTAATATCTTTTGAGACAATTTTTTAGTATTTTAAAAAATGAACTAACTATATAAAATCACACACACACACACACATATATATATAAGACTAAAAAATAAAGTAATATTACTCAGAAAAAGACTATAGAAATTAACTAACGCTATTTCTAAATGATTTGAAAAACATTTTTGAATTTTATAAAGCCAACTGTTTCAGGTCGTTAGAAAATTAATAAACTCGAAAATTAATTATTGTTGGGGTGGGTCAAAATTGGGGTGTCAACATTGTCCCTCATTTTACATAGATTAATGCAAGAAACTCAAGGAACATGAAATTGACCAAATGGATTTTGACCGACTGCATATTCATCTTGTTGGACAAGGAGTTTGGTAAAGGACTTTAGGATCTATGGCCGAACCTCGGAAGTGGGTTTCCTTTATACCTCAGTCTATATGAGAATTCAGGCCACTTGTAGTTCGATACGCTTGATTTAACGCACGATTTTGAAAGAAATTAAAAATCATCTCCATACCAAATTATGGTTATATGTTCCAGAATAAAATTTAAGAGTGAATGTTCAAATACATCCGAGTTTTCAACATTGAGCTCGCCTACATATCCTTAAACTTAGGAATCAGGCTGCTCGTACTTTGACTCGATCGGTTAAAAAGAAAATCTATTATGCTAGATAACCGTTGGTTCTTGACAAGTAACAAATTGAGTTGAGTGTGAAAAGGAGGCTTCCAAACTCTTAGCCATGAAGGTGGATCTCTTCACATCCATAGGTAAGAAATTACACGGACATTATTTCCAAAACTATTGGCGCATTGTCGCTCATATTGGAAACTTGTCTCCGACAGATTAAAATTCCGCATGCAAAACCAAAACTTACAAAAACCAAAGAACAACCCACATGTCTTATGGTAAGGGTGTGGTTTGATTGTGGTGGATGTCGCTCCTCTGCTCGCATCCTAAGAGTTCGACACTCCTCTTAGGACTATGTCCCAGTTCACTGCTAAGAAAAGTTCCACGTTGTGTTGCATCTCTTTTTATGCCTCCCGCACATGTTGTTTTTTTGGAGAAGTAATCCTTTTGGATGTTCTCGACAAAGACTGAAATAAAACTCGTCATCCCAAAAATGCAATTCAAATGGGAGATAGTGTCTTTTACCGCTTAAACACTTAGTTTCTCTCCTTCAGTATTTGTCGTCAACTCAATCGGTTCGACGTAAAGCAAATAAAGCTTATGTTTAATGTTTGCGATATAATCTTTGATTTACTCTTCACTTGATACTAAAATAAGTAAAATTTGATGCATTGTTGATATTTTCTTCATGTCGTCTTTAACAATTCTTTCGGCGTCTAATGTTGCCAAATAAAAGATGTCGTTTATGATGATGGGTAAATATTTCTCTAGAAATGCACAATTTCCCTGATGCATGAATATTAACTCGTAATGCAAGATCTTCCTCGATGCATTATTTTCTGCGGGGCATGAATATATTTCCTCGATGCATGATTTCCTTGATGCAAGAATATTGACTCGCGATGCATGATTTCGTTGATGCATGAATATTAACTCGCGATGCGTGAATATTGTCAAGTGATGCATGATTTCCTCGATGCATGAATACTACCTCGCGATGCATGACTTTGTGCAGGGTATGAATATTTTCCCACAATGCATGAATATTAACTCGCGATGCATGAATATTAAATCGTGATGCATGATCTTCCGCGATGCATGAATATTAACTCACGATGCATGACATTCCGCAATGCATGATTTTCTGCGGGGCATAAATATCTTCCCGTGATGAGTGATTTCTTGCGGGGTATGAATATCTTTCCTTGATGAGTGAATATTTACTCACAATGCATGAATATCGACTCTCTATGCATAAATATTGACTCGTGATGCATGACTTTTCGCAATACATGATTTTCTGCAGGGCATAAATATCTTCCAGCGTTGCCTAATTTTCTGAGGGGCATGAATATCTTCCCGCGATGCTTGATTTCTTGCGGGGCATGAATATCTACCCGCAATGCGTGAATATTTTTCTCTTGAGGTCATCTTTGGTACCAAATGAAGATAGAGCTCAATCGACCAACACTTTTATCTTCTGGGTGCCTTCCAGATAGTCATATCGTCTAAATTAACAATAAACTAAATTGACCCCTCTGGTTGTATATCATATTAATCAACAATGGGAATAAAATGACCCTTCAAGTAGTATATCGTCTCAAACGACAATACCAATAAAATGATTGTTTTGATAGCGACACTATCGTGTCTTAGAAAGAGATGCAAATGACGCCCTTTATAAAAAATTGTAATCTGTCTTTCCTTAGATTTTCACTTGATTCATCTTTGAATCTAGTTGGACGTTCCTTATAGACCTCGTGTTATTAGAAATTTGATAAAATAAACCATTTATATTCCCAAGCCTCCGATATAAGCAAAATGAAATAATTCTTGCATCGACAGGTTAACTGTTGATTTTGGGAGAACTTTCTCCTCCGTTGACTTTTCATATTCATCGATCGGAGACATTTGTTGATTTCAAAACAAAACTATAAACCTGCGTCTACAGAAAAAATTGTTATTTTAGTAATAAACTAACCTATGTCAATTTCTTCATTTGTCTGCTCCTTGTCTTACCATCTCCGATTGATTTTCTGAACTCCCGACCCTTGATAGATAAGACAAAATATTTCAATCCAAAAAAATGAATCATAAGGGAAAAATTTTAGGAAATTTTTTTTTTGAGAAGTAGTATTTTGAAAAGGGTCATTGACAAGTGTTATGTCATGTTAGGCTTAGCGAACTTCTTTGAGTTTGATGCTTTAACTTATATTTGGTTATTCGATGGGGATTATTCAAAGTCACTCTAGACTATCGATAAATCCATGTTGAAATTTTGAGGCCATCCTCAAAATTTCTGTCCCAGTTACATGTCTTGACTCATCTTCAACTGTCGCTGAGTGAGTGACGGAATTTTTGAGATCCTCTCAAAAATTCTGTCCCAGTTGCACATCTTAAAGTATCTATAGTCTTTATTTGCTGAGGAAAACTCTTCTTCCTCTCAAAAATTCTATCCCAGTTTTTATGTATAGAGGCATAGAAAAGTTACGGGAGATATCACCGAACCCTTGTGGCGCCTACATTTCCCGTTGAGGCAGGAATCAGGTCAACCATAGTCCCCCACCCCCAAACGCTAATAACAATACAGAATTTTTAAAGAAAACTGACCAAGGCTGACATAGGCCTCCTATGTATCACATTCTTGAGAATTCAAGTCAGACGTAATTCATTTACAAAATGGATCAAATTTTAAACAAAGCAATTACATGAAAATAGGATAATTACAAGGAAAAAACAGAAAAACAAAATGAAGCTTCACACGTAGTATCTCTTGACAACAACTGAGTTGATCAGTTTTTGCCACGCGATGCCATCCATCTACGACAGGACCAAATCACCTCCAAATAGTACCTTGAAAACCATGTAGGGTCTTTGACAATTTGGTGCGAATTTTCCATTGTAATCGTCATGATGAGGAAAAATGCGCTTAAGGACCAACTAACTGATTTTAAAAATTCTGGCTCTTACTCCTTTGTGGAAAGCACGAATCATTTTCCATCGATAGAGTTGACCATGTCAAATGGAAACCATTCTCTTCTCATCAATCAAGGTTAACTGATCAATCCGCTTGCGGACCCACTCAGCATTACTAACTTCTTGTATGATTCTCAAAGACGGTATCTCAACTTCAACAGGTATGACTGCTTCGGTTCCATATACTAGCAAGTATCAAGTTGATAGAATCGATGTTCTGATGGTCGTTCAATAACCCAACAAAGCATACGACAATATCTTATGCCAATCTCATTGATTGTCAATCATTTTCCTCAGGATCTTATTAATATTCTTATAACTCCATTCATTAGAGGACGGTAAGTGATTGAGTTTCGGTAAGTAATCTTAAATTGCTCACATATATCCCTCATCAAGTGATTGTTGAGATGTGCACTATTATCTGTAATGATTTATTTTGGTACTCCAAACCAGCATATCATGTTGTTGCAAACAAAATCAGCTACAACTTTCTTGGTCACTGACTCATAAAAAGCTGCTTCCACTCATTTGGTGAAGTAGTCGATGGCAACTAAAATAAATCCATGTCCATTAGAGGCGGATGATTCTATTGGACCAATGACATCCATGCCCCAAGCAACAAACGTCCAAGGTGAATTCATACCATTAAGTTCGTGAGGCGGCACTCATATCAATTCCCCATTCACTTGACACTTATGACTTTTCTGCACAAATTTGCAAAAATCATGCTCCATAGTCACCCAGAAATATCCAAATCGAAGGATCTTTCTGGACAAAGTGAGTCTATTCATGTGCGTGCCGCAAACACCAGCATGTATCTGTTTGATAAGCTTCTCAACTTTGACAGCATCAACACATCTGAGAAGACCTAAATTTGGAGTCCTCCTATAAAAAACTTCTCCACTCAGAAAGAAGTTGACGGCCATACGGCGTATCGACGTTTTCTGGTTGGATGTCGCATCTTCTAGATAATTCCCTAACTCCAAATACTTCTTCATTTCAAAATACCATGGCAATCTATCTGGTTGTGCTGCAACATCTGAACAATGGACCGGATGTTCCTTCTGCTCCATAGGATCAATATACTCATTATCTGGATGCTTAATCATTTAGGAAATGGTGGCGAGGACATAAGCAAACTCATTCTGTGATCTGGGAGTAAGTATGAACTCGATCTTATGGAATCTTCTGCATAGTTTCCGTATATACTGCACGTATGGTTTAACCTTCGGGTTCTTCACAACCCATTCTTCTTGAACCTGATAAATCAACAAATTTGAATTTCCAATAACCATGAGCTTGTGAACATTCATGTCGATAGCCATTTTAAAATCGAGGACACAAGCTTCATATTTGGCCATGTTGTTCGTGCAATTAAATTGGATTTTAGCTGCCATGGAATAGTGTTGATCACATCTTACACTAAAGGTGATTTGCCACTCCATCAAAGAATAATCTCTAGCATGGATATATTTCATAAATATCTTCACCCACAAATGATGTTTCTTCATCGTGAAAAAAAGTCTTAAGCGGTTCATAGTCTTCATCAATGGGATTTTATACGAGATGATCAGCCAGGGCCTGTGCTTTTATCATCTTCTGAGTCACATACACAATATCAAATTTACTCAAAAGCATCTGCCACTTTGCCATCTTTCCAGTCGGCATCGCTTTCTGGAAAATGTACTTCAATGGGTCCATCCTTGAAATAAGGTATGTTGTATAAGAAGACAAATAATGTATCAACCTCTGAGAGATCCAAGTCAAAGCAAAATTCATTCTCTACACAAGAGTATACTCATACGGCGTGAACTTCTTGCTTGTATTGTGAATGGATCGCTCCTTCTTCCCTATTTTGTCATGCTGCCCAAGCACGCATCCAAATACGTTATTTGAGACGAACAAATACAGCAACAATGGACTCCCTTCTCGCGGAGGAACCAATACCGGTGGATTGGACAAATAGTTCTTGATAAAATCAAAAGCAGTCTTACACGCTTCAATCTACTTTGTCAAAGCATCTTTCTTCAACATCTTAAAGATAGGATCACACACCACAGTTGATTAAGATATGAATCGACTAATGTAGTTCAATCTCCCTAAGAAACTCATCACCTCCTTCTAATATTCGGAGGAGGTAACTCTTGAATTTCCTTAATCTTGGAAGGTTCAAGCTCAATACCCCTTTCTGTTGACTATAAATCCCAACAACTTGCAAGCTGGAACTCCAAAAGTACATTTGGCGGGATTTAACATCAAGTTGTAACGACGCAAAGGATTAAAGAACTTCTTTAAATGTTTCAAGTGGTCCAAACTCTCGCGGGACATGATTATGATGTCATCTACGTATACCTCGATCTCTTTATGAATCATATCATGAAATATGGTTTTCATAGCCCTTATATAGGTAGAACCATTATCCTTGAGGCCAAATGGCATCACCCTGTAATTATATACACCCCAAGTTGTAATAAAAGTTGTCTTTTCTACATCTTCTTCGTCCATAAAGATTTTATGATAACCTGCATAACAATCTATTATTGACTACATTTAATGTTTAGTAAAGTTATTGATCATAATGTGAATTTTCGGCAATGGACGATTATCCTTATGGGGCTAACTTTGTTGAGATCCCTGTAGTCGACACAAATTCTAATCTTCCCATCTTTTTTCACGACCGGAACAACATTGGCCAACCAAGTTGGGTATTGAGTAACTTCCTCCAGCCGAGACTTGATTTGCTTGGTAATCTGTTATTTGATCTTTAAAATCAATTCATGCTTGAATTTCGGATCCTTTTGCTTCATCGGACAGAACCTTGGATTAATCAGCAATTTTTGAGACATAACAATAGTACTCAGCTCTAGCATGTCATTGACTTCCCATATGAACACGTCAATGTATTCAGTGGGTATATGTATTAGATCATTTCTCTTAGATTCATTTAAATGAACACTGATTTTTATCTCTTGGGCACACTCTTGATCTCCCAAATTCACAACTTCAGTTTCTTTTAAATTTGGCTTATGCTGATTTTCAAACTGCAGAAACTCCTCAGCAACATATTATGTGCCTCATTTTCCTTTTCGTAACCTTCATCATCGTCATCACATTCTTTATTTTGTCCGTTCATCTTGTGACATGACATGACATTGGCAGGTTTAAAATTAATGCTACTGAAACCATAAATAGACAAAGATAGAAAAGTAAAATATAGCAAATAAGTAAATAACAAATTTTTGATAAAATATGCTTTCATAAAAATTGGAAAACAATGAAAACTTTGGTCATGGCAAAGGACCTTGTTGCCTTTTTAAACATCACGGGGAATTTAAAAATTAAACATTTGAGAAAAATGCAAAATGGTAGGTCTCAGACCTCTTCCAGTCCGCCAAAAATTTTCAAATATGAATAAACAATGTCCTTCTACCAATATGATCGGGGAATCAAGATTGGCGTGAAAATCCAATTCTGCGGTTGTTCTCCACGCTCAGCATCACGGATACCATCTCGCTCGACTTCTTTTTCTATGATAGCATCATTCTCTTCAAAAAGGTCACAAATTCCTTCCTCGAGGCATTGGCTTACTCCCAGACTCAAAATGACTCATACAGATGTGGGATTTGCTTAACCAATGCTTGATCACTGCTTTTCCTCATTTTCATCATATCATGTGTGGGGATATACCCCAAACCATATCCCGCTTCTTTAACAGGGAATGGGATAGGCTAGATAATCGGTTGGGAATTCCTTCCCATTTCAAAACCTGGTTCAAACCCATTCTGTAGCATCACAGTGGAGGCATCTTGTACACGGCAGGCATAGGAGGTTGTGGGGCCAAATCCTCACCGGTTGCATTTACCAGCTACACCGTGTAGAAATCGATTCCTCGTGAAACTTCATCAATAATGGGCGTCTGCCTGCCAGAGTGAATCCCTTCACCGTGAATAACCAGTTCTTGGTTCTTTCAAAGAAGTTTCATCATCAGGTGAAGAGTAGATGGCACAACTCCAGCATTGTAGATGAAAGGCCTTCCCAAAAGAAGATTATAACTGGTGTCGATGTCCAAGACTTGAAATTGTGTGCTGAACTCAGCCGGATCCATTTGGGTGAACATATTCACTGCTCGCAACTTATTTCTCTATACTCCATCAAATGCTCTTACATTGAGTTGGTTTTGTTCAACCTTCCCCAAGTCAAACCTTAATTGCCTTAGAGTCGACAGTGGGCAAATGTTAAGACCGGACCCATCATCCACCAGGACATAATTTATGACTCTTTCACGGCATATGACAGTGACATGCAACGCCTTATTGTGCGACCTCCCTTCAAAGGGCAATTCTTCATCATAGAAGCTAATACGATGCCCTCGGATAACTTGGTTAATCATACCCGCCACATTATCGCTGCTTGTGCCCACGGGCACATATATATAATCAAGAGCCTTAATCAAGGCCTGTATATGCATTTAGGAGCTCATTAGCAGGGCCCACACAAAAATCTTGGCTGGATTTTCTCCAAATGCTTAATAATCGAATACTATTTTTGTTGCATCTTTCTCCATGATTCCTCTGTCTCGCCTTCACTTATCATCCTTTTACCCTAATCCTTATTTTGTCCTCTAAAATTCAACTCTTTAAGAGTATAACACCTTTCAGATCGGGTCATACCCTGAGCGATAGCAGTTTTAATCACAACTTTCGGACTGAAAAAAGTTTCTGATGGAAGCAAGGCAATAGCCTTTGCGGGTGTCAGGATCACAAACTCTTTTTTCTCTTTCACACTTACTGAGGCCACATCACTTTCTAACTCGTCATGAATAATATGATTTATCACCTTCGTCACGGACCAATCATCATTCATCTTTATCATGTTGATATTGATGCTTCCATGAATCGGTAAAGTGTTGGTGTTTATATTAGGTGCGGCTACTTGAAGAGAAACCACCTCTTCGTCAATCAGATCTTGAATTTTGTGCTTGAGGTTGATGAAGTCCTCGATATCATGTCCTACGTTGTTGGAGTGATACGTACACTTCTGATCAGGTCTGTAGAATTTAGAATTGGTATCCACCGGCTTAGGCCCCACCAAGTGAATGTATTAAGCCACAAGCACTCGCTTGTACAACTGTGTTTGGATTTCGACGAGCGTGGTAAAGTTTTTGGTGGGCTTCTTCTCAAATCTAGGTCGAGGTGGATCATAACTGTCTTGTTGGGGAGGAGTCACCTGTTGATAACTTCTGGTATGTGGACGGAGAGATTGGTTTCTCAAATAAGGATATGTTTTGTTTTTAGTGATGAAGCTTGGTAGTTCGAAGGGGTATTTTTGTATACTGGAGCTTGAAATTGATATACTGGTGGGGGTACTCTATAGCTCGACTACACATTTGCAATGTTAGGAGCATCATTTTGGTATATGGGGGATGAATTTGGTAAGGCGGAGGAGTATTTTGCTAAATAGGCAACGGATTTTGGTAATTTCGAGGTGGGGAATTTGGGTACGAGGAGGTATGAGAAGGTAGGATTTGGATAACTAGTTTGCGTATAACCAGCTTGATGGGAGTTCTATGAAGGTCGAGGGCGACCATTGTAGAATGATGATTTTTTATGGGTCCTCCTCCCCTCAGAAGAGATAGTTGAAATGTACTCTCTCTTCCTCTTCAGCAAGACTAATGATCCGGGTGATGCGGCAATGTGGGCTATTTTCGCTGCTTTCAAACCATCTTCGATAGTCTCACGAATCTTGACTATCTCAGCAAATTTTTCTCCAACGAGTAACATGATTCTATCATAATATTTGGGCTCTTGCACCCGTAAGCCTTACCCAACCTTCTTCCTATCTCCAAATGTAGGCAAACTCTCTATATCATTTAGTAGATTTTTGCTTGATCTTTTTCAAGGAGTATCGATTGGGAACTATTTCCAAGTTCTAAGCAAATCAATCGATAAAATCCTTGGCTAGGGCATTCCAACTTGGCCACTGTCTAGTTTCAAGGAAAGTGAACCATTCTAGAGACTCCCCGCATAGACTTCGGCTAAAGAGCTGCATCAGCAAGGCTTCATCCCTACTAACTCCAAGAAACTGGTCGCAGTAGGCACTCAGATGGGCC